ACGGACATCAGGGACTGTTGATCTGCACCAGGCTGGGATGGGCTACAAGAGAATCGGAAAGCAACTTGGAGAGAAAAGATCAACTGTCGGTGCAGTTATCAGGAAATGAAAGAAGCACCACACCACGGCCAACCTCCCCCGGTCTGGGCCTCCACACAAGATCTCGCCTCGTGGGGTGTCCCTGATCATGCCAACGGTGAAGAATCATCCCAAAACCCCAAGGGGGGAACTGATGAATCAACTGAAGGCAGCTGGGACCACAGTTACAAAAGAAACGGTTGGTAACACACCACGCCGACATGGATTGAAATCCTGCAGCACACGCAAGGTCCCCCTGCTCAAGAAGAAACATGTACAGGCCCGCATGAAGTTCACCATTCACCACCTGGACGACTCAGAAGAGGCCTGGAAAGAACACCGAGTACAACCCAAAGAACACCATCCCCACCGTCAAGCATGGTGGTGGCAACATCATGCTTTGGGGATGCTTTTCAGCCAAGGGGACGGGACAACTCCATGGTATTGAGGGGAGGATGCATCAACTATAAAAACCGTTTGACATCTGCGCTGGCCAATAATGGTTTTTCTACAAAATATTAACATGCTGTTTGTCCAAGGGGTCAAATACTTGTTTTTCCTCATCAGATGGTTATCAATTTTTATAAATTCATATGATGTGAATTTCTGGCATTTTCTTTGGGATTCTGTCTCTCACTGTTGAATGTACATATGATTAAAATTATAGATTGTTGCATTCTTCGTAAGTGGGCAAACCTGCAAAATCAGCAAGGGGTCAAATACTTATTTCCCTCACTGTACAATAAGATCAACCAACACTATTTTTTTAGGGCAAATACCAACGTCAACTCACCAAATATATCAAACCATTGCTCTATTTTTGGTTTCATGCTTTTGTTCCGTGCCCCCTGTGGTGGTCTAGAACCACATCTGCAGCTTACTGTTCTGGAAAATCCTAAGGTTATGCTACGTTCAGACCGCCAGCAGCAGAAGCAGCTAGTTTACATGCAAAGTAAATGGTTTATGCACATCAAGGCTCAGTAAAAGGTCCTGCGGCGCATTTTGAGCAGCAGGAGCTGTATCTCATGAGCTTCTGAGCATCTGACGTGCATGCAGCGCTTCAGAAACAGCAGCAACTGCTGGAGTTGGAAAAATTTAACTTTTTCCTCATCAACCAATCAGAGAAGCTGATCTGGGAGCTGGCAGGGAGACAGTCACAGCGCCGCTGATGCAGATCACTATGATCACTCCTCTGAAACAGTTTATCAAAGCCTAAATTAACTTAAAATGTCAAAACCTGCTGGCAGAATATGTTCGCTTTTATTCAGTTCATTGGTGTCTGCAATTTGGATGTGGATTGAAAAGTAGCGGAAAACTGCAACGAGGCGACCGAGTCAGAGGCTGGCGTTGAAGGGGATTTCCAGTGACAGCACACTGCCGGTGTACTGGGGTCTGAGCTGCTCCGACACTGAAATAATATTTGAAGGCAGGATTGTAATCTTGATGAACTGTATGCAAAGATGACGTTTTCATCTGGACTTTCTCACTTAAAAACATATTAAAACTACTTTTTACCCACTTATAACAGCAAATAGAGCGGCCATTGTCACAGGCACAGAAAGGTTAGGGCAGCTCAGCCCAACGCGCATCACACCCACTTTTCAACAGCACAGCTAGAGCAGCAAAGATGCTTCAGCGTCAGAACTAATCTTGTGCAAGGGTAAAAAAATAAAGCAGCATCTCTCCTCTAATCTTGTTTCTGCCATTGTGCATTTTACTGCAATGGAGAGAAAATACTCTCTCATAGTACCTTTGAGTATGACTCCCTAAATGTAGATTTGGCGCGTCTATCACATATTGATGATTAAACATTTGTTTTTATTTTTTTAAAGGAAAAGTCTGTTCATATTAGGAATTCAAACTTCTGAAAGTACTTTAAATATGAAATTATTGCATCCAGTTCAATAAATGATCAGTGTTTTTTAA